TTTCCCGAGAATTTCGTAGTTTTTCCCTAAAATTTTGCTGACCAGCTGGGAGGGAGGAGGGGGCATATAGCACATGTGAAACGCAAAAAAAGCGCGAAAAGTCAACAATCGGGAAAAATTTTTTCCCAACGCCGAAAATTTCTCTCGTGGCAAAAACCTTCCCACCTCTTTCCCAACAACGAGCAAGTACGACCCCCCACCCACTTATAGCGTCCGTGAAACAAGAAAAATCAACTATCCAGAAAATTTTTTCGGACCAAATATGATCTCCTTCCCCCAGCGACTAAATACGACCCCCCCCCCGATGGGTCCCCAACGCTTGACGTGGTCTAATAGAGACTACAGTAACCCACCCGGCGTATCGGGCTGAGTTGCTACACCTCACAGAAATAACACCGCTATTATAATATCTTTATTTCAAAGTGACATGTTTAACGGTTGATTGGCCCATTTTGACATGAATTCCTGCACGTTGATGAGTTGGTCGGTGGGATTCGTCTTGATAGCAATCAGAAATCGATTGAGATTGTCCTTGTCAGCGCTGAGGTCACCGAAGTCGACGCGGGTCCTCGTTATTGGATAACCTTCAAAAAGAGAGATTGACTGTTTATCATCAAGGGTATAATAATAAGGGACAACCCGGCTTGACAGCCTAGTAGAATTAAATACGTTGTAAACAATTTCATGTGATAGTAATCAGAACTTAGTGGGATTCGTCGTTCCCGCGTTTCCGTCCGGCATCAATGTCTTGTTCGGGCGGTGGGGTGTGTCAGAAGGTCCGGGCTTGGCCTGCGCCGCCCCTTCTTCACCAGTTGTTGAAGCGAGTAAAAGACAATATTTAAAGGCAGTTGGCACCATAAAGTCCTAAAGACAAGTGGGATTGATACGCCTGGCAATCTCCTGGATTTCCGCGACCCTGAGCAGGCGCTGTATAGCGGTTTTTCCTATGGAGGTACCCTTATAAGGGCCCTATCAAGCTACAACATACCGACCCAAACGCCCGCCCGCCCACAAATGGACGACCTTACCAGATGCTCGTTTTGCTTCATTTGCTAATAAAATATGAAGCGAAGGGATGGTATGAAGCGGCTGCAGTGCTGAATGGATATATGAGTACATAGAGCCGTACCCACCGGAGCTGTCATTTGCAATACGCCTGCGGGAAACTCGTCCGAAATTGCTTTCCAGGAACGAAGGCTTTTCTTCGCAGTTTTCGACCGTTTCACTTCGTTTTTTCGCCATTTTCCCCACTAGATAGCGCCCTGCTAGCATTTTAGGCTGAGTACCAAATTATCGTGCCAACTGCCTTTGATGGCATAAGGCACAATAATTTGGTGCTGGATCCAAAATGTTAGTGAAGGTGATATACAGTGGGAAAAGACGAAAAAGTGAAGTGAAACGGTCAAAAATCCTGCAAAAAAGCCTTTGTTCTAGACCACTCAAAAAGCATTTCGGACCAGCTTCTCGTTGGCATCGTGCCAATCACTGCTGCGGTAGAAACCGAAAATTTTTCGGGAAATTACCGGAAAAGTAGGAAGCTGGTAAAACATAGAGATGACAAGTAGCATTGGGGAGAGGGGAGATCGTAGCAGATGGAAATTTGGGGCGGGTCGATTTTGCAAAAATTTTCTTCGGCTCTCCTGCGACAGCACTTGCTCTGAGCGCAGACCTGAGCCATATGTGGGGTTTAAGACTTGGAATTTCTAAAGACTTCTGGATGAAAGTCTTTCTCGCTTTTTAATAAGTCAGTGTTATTACCTGTAATGATACATTCAGGCCATTTCTGACCATTAGCTTCAATTGTGGCTTCAAAGAGGCCACGTGAGTCCAGTTTGAGGTCCCGAGAAGCCCCGTCGTCCACTGAGGTAGCTAACACCCACTCTTTGATTTCTTCGTGCATTGAACTCTGAAACATCACATGTGTGAAAGAAAACGTGGAAAAGATCTCTGGCACGTTTCCGTACCTCAACCCAAGGTGATTCAGGTAATGGTACTTCTGCAGGGATGTCAGTGCCTTCGAAAGCAGAGTAGTCGACCAGTGAAGCGTCTCCTGTGAAATAAGTCTTGAGCAAGTTGCTGCGAGGGCAGGAGATTCGATCAAACTTACCCTCATCAATCGCATCTACCAGATCCAGGTAGTGGTTAAGTAGTAGGAATGCTAGAGGGGCATAATCTCCACCGGCATCCTGAATTCATTTTCCATTTTTATCGTGCATATAAGCTGTTTCGCAAAACTAGGCTGGGCGGAGTCTCCTTCAGTGCAAGCTTGCGTCCCCCAAGTGGAACAGCATTCGTAGGCTACGTAATTCTGGCTCGCATCTTTAGCGTTATTCAAGCACATTGGTTTGCGATTCTAATTGAATAAGCGGTTTTGTGATTAGTACGCAGCGATTTCTGTGACCGCCGTCACGCGACTGCACGCGTCCGCACTTGCTGATTGTTACCGCAAAAAAGATGAACTTAGATCCGAACCTTCGCAGCGATTCCTGCTTGGTAGAAAACGCGATCTGCTGGAATGAGATCTGAATAGCGCAAAAGCGAAATAGACTGCTGTAAGCGAAGCGTTTGCGAGTCCGTGGTTTGGATATCCTGTAAAGTGGAGATTACTGCTGATAGTGGTTATGAAGCGGCACACGACAACTTATGCAAACTTGAACGTCGAGAGGAAAAACGGGCCCACTCAAAACACCGAGAACGTGAGCTGCACATTGGTGCTAGCTAGATGGGACAACTGCACCAATAGTGGCAACGCGGTTGCAGAGCGTGTGTGCAGTCTCGTCCAATGCGGATTATGAAGCGGGTCAGGGCGGGGTTTTGCGCGGCACCAACCCGTCCTCCACCAATCGTGGAAGCTGGCAAGCGACCACAGCTGGTGGAAAAAGGGTTGGCGGCGCGCTAAGCCCAGCGCTTCGACACGTCCAGCATCCTTAGTGAGCAAGACTGCACATCCTTCCGGATTTGAAAGTGAGTAAATCACGAGCTTCGTGCTTAAGTGTACCCATTTTGGTGCACAATGTTCTAGCCATTTGACTGTATAACGGGGCTGCAAGTTCCTTTGTGTCTCTGTCTTGGCAACCCTTATTTCTCTGGGCCCGAGCCTGCTCGAATTTATCGGAAGCGGACTTTACCTCCATAGCACAGCGAATAGTCATCAGGTGAAGAGCATGAACGTATCGTTCGAAAATCTAGAATAACTGGTATTACTATTACATTGGGAGAAGGGTATTACCAGTTGAAACCAGAAAATACGAACATAGCGACTTTCGGAGTTCTCTCTGGCAAGCATCTCGTACACTGAGAGGAAAAGATTCCGCACGGGGCTGAGCTGAGCATATTCTTCTGCCGGGATGCTGAATGACTGCGCTACAATCTGTAATGAAGAAATATATATGGCATCGGGGCCGCGACGCGACCGCACGCGGCTCATCCGGGAATTCTTCTCATATCACTGTGGTGTGCTTATGTGTTAGGCCTACCTTGTCGAGTATCGCTTTATAAAGATTGAAATTCGACGGATTTGATGAAGCGCCATATTTTTCAAAGACTTTGAGCATGAGGTCGATGTGGTTTTGTGTGAGCAATTCGGCTGCGTATTGAGCTACGTACTTGTCAAGAAGAGGTTTGTGCTGAAACGAAGAAGTAAATGCGGTTCAAGCTCAAGGTTTAGCCCGAAAATGGCGCGGCTACCTTTTGTTGTCTAGCCGCGTCTAGGGCTTTATCCCATTGTCCTTTGGCTATCAGAAGATCGATGGCAGAAATGACGTCAACGTCGATCAGCTCACCAACTCGACCTTCTTGTGTCAGCCATTCCTTGTACTGAGCTTCAACTTCTGGTACCATTTCCGGAACGAACTCGCTAGCTACCTACAATCGACACTGTTCTGGGCGCAACTATTGGAATAGATTATAACGTACTTGTTTAGCTTTTGACCACTGCTGTGACCTTGCCAACGCGATAACAGCTTGTCTATTCTGTCCGATGGCCAGTAACAGCCCGGCCATCTTCTCATAGCTTTTATGCGCTTCAAGCGCTTCAACGACTTTCAGTACCATCTAGATTTGTTTCACATCAAAGACTTCCGAGAAAGGCTGGACGAAATATACCTCTTCATCCGTATTCGCTAAAAATCTCAGCGTCAAATCAGCGCTTTTCATCAGCGCGTCGTTGATCAGCGATTCGTCGTCCGTAGTCGAGCGATTAATCTAAACAAATTAACGACAATTGAAGTGCTCAGGTCACGTTCGTACGCGACGGTTCTGAACAGGTGACGAATCTTTTTAATGGAAAGGCTCTCCAGATGGATGGCGATGTCGATGGGAAGTAGCAAAAATGCAAAATGCACCCCCCTCCCCCGTCGCCGAATAGTACCTAGATAGGTTGGCAAATCTATGAAAAGCAGAATGCCCCGCCCCCGTCAATAAACAGCGCCGGCGGGTCGTATTTGGGCTGAGAAAAATTTATTTTGATAGTGGATTTTTCTCGCTTCGAAAGGGGGGGGGGAAAGCTTGCTCATTGTTGGGGAGGGATGGAGTCGTATTTACTCTATGGTCTTTCTAGGAGTGGTATTTGACTTTTCGTGATTTTCCTGTTTCATGCGTACTATATACACCCCCTGCTCAACGGCTCGATTCGATGGGAGGGGACAGAGCCGAAGGGGGGGGAGGGGTTGTGCCATTCCCCCCTCCCCGAAAAAAAATATGGTCGTACGGACTCGACTAAAATCCCCAACCAATGATGTGCCCTGTTTGCGAAAGATTGTGTAATAGGTGTTGAATTTCGATACGAACAGTTTCGCCGATTAGCTGGTTTCCCCCTCATCTAGCGCTCGATGGAATTCGGGTGAATTTGGCGTGATTCTGGGTATATCCTCGATTTCAGGTAGGAAAGATCTGGGGGTCGCATTGCAGGTGGTCTGGTGGAAGGCCAGAGCTGCGCATCGCGCGTCATGCTGAAGAATAAGATAGCCACGATTTTCCTCTGTTTCTTCCTTCAGAAGTTAGTCTCATGTAGATCAGGTACGTCTGTCGCTAAGGGGAGGTCTTGGAAATACGCAACCACTCTATCGAAATCCTCCTTTAATATACCTCGCAACATCTTACTCTTCCCCGACGCCCTACGCCACTTACACTTTTCCCAAACTTTCCAAGAAAATTTCCAGTATTTTTCCAAAACTCAGGATTTTTTTGAGCAAGAGATAGCTGCCTACAGGAGTTGGCTGTGATGCCAACTAGGGTGGAGGGGGGGGTGGAGCGGGGGAGGTAGCGGAGAAAAACAACTACGGGCACCGTCATGTGGGATAATGGAGCGTGCAAGCCAAAATAATTGAGCTATCAAAACAATTTCTTAAAGACAAATCCCCCCCCCCCCCCCCCCCCCCAGCCCCCCCCCCCCCCCACCCACTCCACTGACCAAATGTGACCGCTCGCTGGAAGCGTACGTAACCTGATCTAGATCCATCGAATATTACGCAGCACGACTGCATGCGTAGAGTCCACACCCCAGGGATGGAATGGGCGTGGCTGTGTACCTCACTTAAACATGACGTAAGATGCATTCCTCGTTGGATGTTTCCATTCGATTCAAGTACTGTCCTATCTTGCACTTCATAAGGTTATGTTTGCAATTGTTCTGAAACTGCAGTATCCATCCAGAAGCGCAGCTGTCGCCACATTTGAATGAAGTACGCAGCCACGGACTTTTCATCTCTGGGATATGGAGTGTATCACTGCTCGTGGAACGGGCCTTGTAGACGAACGTACCTTTAGATAAGCCTGAACAGCTTTAGCCCATTCACGTTGCTCTTCAAAGGCCCGACCTTGTGCCAGTAATGAGCTGATGCCGCGACTGCCTCCCAGGAGCTCCACTTGCTCGAACTCTTCCTGAAAAAAAATCCGTCAGGGTAACTCTTGGATGGTCCCAAATAAGAATTTGCATAACATTGCGGAAAGTTTGGTACCAATTACTCAGTGAAAACGCTCTTGTAACACATAGTAATAAGAAACCTGCAATTGTAATAACTGATGTGGTAAGTACTCCTTGGCGATACGCAGAGCATCAGGCCACATTCCATTTTCCTGGTAGAATCTGCAAGTCCGTATCAGGGCTACTATGCGGTGTTGCGTGAAGTCGTGCTAAGCAGCGCGACCGCGCTACTTTGGAAACAAGTATTGTAAATACCTACTTGAGTATGATATCGGGCCGGTTTGCTCTCAGTAGGCAGCTTTCCGCTCGTGCGTTGTCCTCTTCCTCGAGTGCCTTGCGTGCTTCGGCTATGAAAACATCTGGCAGCGATTCCGGAGAATGCTCTCTGTAATGGCGAGTCAATCGCTTCATAAGGACGGGTCCAAAAATAGGGTGCCCTTACTTGGCCACTTGTTCTGCGTTCCTCCAGTCTCGATCATGTACGTACATAGCGACTGCTTCGGCTGGTTTCCCAGCAGCGATGAAATGCTGAGCAGCTTGATCAAGACGTCCTTCCTCTTCCATTTGAACTGCCATGCGCATGTGAACCTGGCGATAACTTGTATTTACAGATTGGTGCATAGTTCGATAAGTCAACCAGTCCACATCATAATTTCACAATTTTGTCAACGATTTACGCACTGCATGGTTGATATCGTCGCCATTGGTCGGGGCGGTGTCAGGAGTGGGCGAAATGAGCCCGCCTCCCTTGCTCTGCCAATGATGATCGGTTAGTGATCAGTTCAGGAATAAAGCAACCAATGGTGAAAACGCAGTGGGTGGGCTCATTCCATCTCTCTTGGCACCGCTCCGACTGTTGCAACGCATATAGTCCATATCTTGAGGTTGGAGGGGGTGGTGGTATACACGAATGTGGTGGTGAGCGCATGCTGCGGTAGGCAGTTTTATCTTTAAAAGGAAGGGGAGAAGTGTTTCAGTAATTCAATGAGCCGTCTGCTTGATCCCTTGTGCTGTCGTAGTCTCTGCATGAACCGGCGACTGTCTGCGACTGTCACGCCCACAGCTATGTTCGCCCCTCCCCCGCTAACGCCGAATTATGGTTAGTAGAGGCACAGGACTCTTTATTGTTTTGCAGACACTCGTGTCCTTCTGATTTCTTTTCAGATCTCATAATGACCATCCAGACAACTTAAAGTCTTGTTCGCTGTGGAAGATGGGGCGTGCCCAGAGGGCTGTTGGCGCGGTGCCAAGCAGTTCTCCACCAATTGCTGAAGCGAGAAAGTGACAATAACTGGTGAAAAAAGGGCTGGCACCGCGCTAATCCAGGCTTCTGACGCCTCCAGCATCCTTGGCGAACAAGACTCTAATCATTTCGTACATCCCTTCTGATTTCATACCCCTGGTAATCGCTCCTTGGCGCCAAGGCGAGCCAATTCGAAGGCGAAGTCAAAGGTCCTAAAAAAAGAGGGTTGTAGTGTTTCCAGGTTTTTAGGTCCTGATGATTCGATCCTAGTGAGGGAAGAATAGTTCAATTCACATACCCGATCTCACTGAAATGATCTATAGCTTCGTTGAGCATGCCAAATTTGTTGAGCAACTTTACTCCAGCTTCTCCACCTAAGCTCTTGGCCCAAAGTAGTGCTACCTGGAACCGTTCAATTGATATAATCATAGTCTTTCATGTGACAGTTGAATCGGGACGTCTATTGGTTTTGAGTAATTCGTGCTCATAGCACCCCTGATTGGTCGAATACTCATCACAACCAATCACAGGCGTCCTTTACATGCGCTGCACTTGGACCATAGTTGAATGTGAATGTGACTATGTGTAAGATCACAGCACCTGTTTCTGTTCTTGTTCACCACCTTCACTACGAGCAAGGCGATACGCGTCTGTCCACATTTCCTTTTCTCTGTACATATTGATTGCTGCCTAAATAGACCAGTTAGAAAATTCAAAAGTGAGACCATAACAGTGCTAACCTTAATATCACCGGCTTTTAAGTATTCTTCTTCGGCGGAGCGCAAATCTCCGCGTTCTTCATGCTCCATGCCAAGTCTCTTATGAGTATCCTGAAGAATTTCCAGTCATCAGTAAAGTTTTCCGTGATTTCGGAACCTACACAAAATCAATAACCTGCAGATGTTCCCCGTGATACTTTTCAACGAGGCGAATAACATCGTCGTTCCGTTCAGCGTTTTTATACATAAGAACTGCTCTGTTCGACATACCAATAGAAATGTATAACTAAAAGAGTTGGTAACTTACTTTCATGTTTTGGGACGTAATGAGTACTATAATCATGCCTTCAAAAGCAGGGGGCACATAGCTGGGGGCGGGCGGCTGTTGCCAACGTTATTGTTTGAAGGGTTGCGATAGGCCGTTTGGCCACACCCAACCCCCCCCCCCCTTCCACCAATGACGTGCATCAACGACCCGCCCCCAGCCATCGTCCTCACTGTCTTCGAGAAAAAGCGTACCTGTTCAGCATCAGCATATCTGCCTTGTTGCTCGAGCTCTTCTGCCTTTGCCTCATAGAGAGCGAAGGTTTCTTCTTTGCCAAGGAATTCTTCGGATAACTGAAATTTTATGGTAAAGTGCAATAGTATGCGCGAGTAGTTTGGTTTTGGAATCCTCGTTTCGATTCCCTTCCAGTTCACTGAGTCCTCCTCGTCCTCCTCTTTACCATAGTAGAAAGTAATAGAAGCGCTGTTCGGCTTGGAGGAGGCGTTTTGCGCTTTCGCTAGTTTCTTTGTTGGTTCATGTGAAAGGTGTAAGGCTTGATAATTTGGCACTTGCTCAGAAATAGTAGCAGGGGTGCCATACAATAGGAAAATTACGGAAAAGCGTAGTTTAATGTCGAGAAATCTCCAAAAAGCCTTTGTTCTGCACGGCACTGGACGAGCATTTTTGGACGAGCTTCCCGTTGGCGTCGTCACAGAATTTGCAGATCTTCAAAAGGTGGTCTGGACAAGCTTTGCTGAATACTATTATTGTGCCCCCACCGAGCCGAACTGCGCTGGTTGGGGATGACCATGAGAACGGTGCATTGGTCCAAGTGACTGCTCTCTAGCAATCAGTATGGTAAGCGTCGTTGACTAATCAGAGGCAGCTGGCACGACAAGTCCCTAAGACGAGTAGGATTATTTCGCCCGGTAGGACGGAATTCCACTTTAATGACCAGGCGCTGCGCAGCGCCTTTCCCAGGGAAGGTACCCTATATAAGGCCCGGCCTGAGGATTATTTCGCCCGGTAGGACGGAATTCCACTTTAATGACCAGGCGCTGCGCAGCGCCTTTCCCAGGGAAGGTACCCTTATAAGGCCCCTATCAAGCTCCAACATATTGACACGGATGCCCAAGCTGCTGCGGTGCTGCATGGATATGAGTACATAAGTGCAGCCGTACCTACCGTAGCGGTTATTGGCAAGATGCCTACGGGAACTCGTCCGAAATTGCTTTTGAATCATTAAGAACGAAGGCTTTTCTTCGCAGGTTTTTGACCGTTTCACTTCGTTTTTTCGCCATTTTCCCATTATATAGCACCCTGCTAGCATTTTAGACCGAGTACTAAATTAAGGTGTCGCATGCGTTTAAGCTTTTCAGTTCTGTTATCCTGTGAATTTTTCCCTATCTTTGAACAATCTCGAATGGGGGAAGTGCCTAGTCGTTTGGTACACGGCGCATTCTCCCACTTGGCAAAAATCTGAAATCTCACCCTATAGGCATCTGCCCATCTATTGTTCTTGATATACATAGCAATGGCTTCTTTGTGAAGACTCGCTTCGACATAGAGGCGTTCTGCTCGCTGAATAAATTGACTTCAAATAGGATGGATACAGTACTGCTAGAAATGGAAAAGGGTGTTGGTAAAAGAATAGTACGTCCAGCTCCTCAGTGGTCGCGTAATGTGCTGCAATTCTCCCATAGAAATCGCTGGATGTCTGTGAATCCTGAATAACATCCACAATCTGCACGGCCTTTCCCCATTCCTTCGCTTGTATAGCTGCTTCTGCCGCTTTCACAAGACTGTTCGCCTCTGAATAGTGCTGCCATTACAAAGTGACGTCATCAAAAGGCATAAATCCGCTTAATTACCTAAGAAGTGGTTGATGGAAGCGTCGTGTTGTCCTTCGGATACTAGATGGTCACCCCATTGCTCTTCCAAAGATACCACTTTTTCCGGTGCAGCGAATCGAGCCAGCTGAACAGTAATGAAGTATGAGTGGTGTGTGTGATCTACGGCAATCAATAAGACGCTTTTCCATACCTGAACAGCTTTGTTGAATGCCTTGCCGTTTGTATAGCATTCCAGCGCTTTCTCGAAGTCTTTCATATGCTCATAGAGTTCTCCAGCCTGAAACGCATCAACGAAGTCTCTTGAAAGGGTTCATGCATGATTTAGAGGCAATGGGCACAATGGATGGGGGCGGGCGGTTGCTGTTGATGTCATTGGTGGAAAGGGTGTGAGAGGGCGTTGGCCACACCCCTCTCCATCCTTCCACCAATGACGCTGGCAGCAACCGCCGCCCTCAGCCATCGTACGCACTGCCTTTATGGGACATGGTGGGATAATGGGAGCACGTCCTCTCACCTTGTCATATATCTGAGACTGCATAAGTTGTGAAGCAATGGATGTCATGAGCTGGTGATCGTTGGCGAGTGCTGAATCCGTTAAGGCTGTTTCCAATGCTTGTACAGGTTTCTTCGCCTTCATATAAAGGCTGATGGCACCAGACACATCACCATCAGCGATTTTCAGCTGTGTTAGTTTACTTGTTAGTCAATGGTAATGCAATATTGAATAGAGCTGAGAACTTACTTCAGCTGCTTTGGCGTCTTGTCCCGTGTCAAATAGAGTCCTGTAGTAGTTAGCCTTGAGTTGATCGAATCCAGGGTAGTTCTGAACAATTATAGTGGCTTCTTCTGCCTGTGTATTACATGTTTAGCACAAAATTATAGCTCAGTCTGACGCGCGTAGGCGGCTATCGATCTGCAGACCATGACGCGCTGCAGCCGCGCGCGTAACAATCCGACACGATAAACTTCACAGATCTTACCACAGCCTTAGCTATGTCCAGTGCTTCATCCCATCGTTGTAGCAACTGATACATCTCGATTGCTTCCTCGATGGCGTTCTGAATTACTCTAGTATTGGAGATTCAAAAAGAGGAGGTTTTCTACAGGTGAAATTCACATTTTCCAGGAAGATCTTCTCCGCCTCTTTGAACTTTCGCATCAGTTGTGCAGCATTGGCACGGACTTTCCAATGTTGAGTACCATCGCCACCTAATTCTTTCGCTTTGGCTTCGGCCATTTCCGCGATTCTCTAGAACCAATGGATATGAAGGGAGGTCCAAGGAATGGTTTTCTTATTCCTGTCCCGACTTACAAAAGCAGCTCTAGCTCGGGGATAGTCGTTGAGTGCTGCGAAACATCGCTGAGCAGTGAAGAAGTTACTCTGCTCCAAAGCGATTTGGGCCACCTTGTTCCACATTGAGTATCTGAACGGTAACGAGCGAACCATATGAGCATACCGGAATTCGGAAGACAAAACTACGGAATCCGTTCAAAGCATCGGAATTCGGAAACTGACAGAAAACGGAAAAATACGACTACAATGCAATGAAGGGCAAAATAGGCCCTCAAAGTGAGCCAACTGATTGTGTATGTAATGAGGACCGAAAATTGCTTCGAAACCATGATCGACAGGGGGTTGTATTTGGTCACCGAGGAGTAGACGGGGTCGTATTTGATCTGAGAAAATAATTTTCTATAGTTGATTTTTCTCGTTTCGGGGACGCTATACAGGAGGTCGTATTTGCACGTTGTTGGGAGAGGAGAAGGGGTCGTATTTGCCTTCTGGCCTTCTGTGAGGTATAACTTTTCGTGGTTTTACTTTTCGTGGGTTTTTCCTGTGTCATATGTGCTATATGACCCCCCCCTCCCCACCCCCTCCGCCGCCTCTCCCCGCTCGCAGTAAAATTTTTGGGAAAAACTAGAAAAATTTTAGGGAAATTTTGGAAAAACTGGCAGGAAGTTGGGAAAATCTATGTGGTAGGAACGTTGGGGGATGAGGACGGGAGAGAGGAGGGGTCGTATTTTCCTCGCGGTTTTCCGTTTCACCTGTGCTATATATCCCCCTAGACAGCTCGATTGAGGGAGGGAAGGAGGGGGACATCGTACGGGACTCGAGACCAAAATCCCCCAACCCACATAGATCGTTTACTCTCACAGAAGTATTCGATGATGTGCCCTGGCCAAAATCGAATACTTCTGTGAGAGTAAAACGGTAAAGCTCCGAAGAACTTTGAAAACAGTTGTCTGTGGGATAAGTGGTGCTATTTCCAGGGAGACGGGCAAGAGAATCGTAAATTGCCGCTTCGTCGCGCGCGGCAATGGGTGTGACGTTCCCTTAATTTGCACAACTCTTTCGATTGCGGATTTCACGTAGACAAGGACGTGATAGACACTTATGTCTATTTTGGTCATACATTGTCTATTCTCGACCAATACCACCTAAAATCGTCGTCATTAGCGGCGCGACGTCGCACGCGACGCCCACTGGCACGGTGAACTTACGATTCCCTTGCCACATTCCCCTATTTCCACGCTCAGCCGCTCCTTCGAATTCTCTGCTTGTTAGGCGGATCTACAGAGGGGAGGAGGGTTGGGATGGGACACCTCGCTAGCGGAAAATACCTTCGAAACTTGTTTCAGCTGAAATTGCAGGCTAGTCGAACAACTGGGCGTTTACATCGGACACTGATCCCAATTAGTGCATCTTCAGAACTGGTCAAACCGACGTGTCTGTGTAGGACCCGTCTACTCGACCTGTACGGTCTACTCATGAAAAACAAGTCATAAGTCATAGCGAGGTTACCCAAACCGCTGAACAACTGGTGTCTTGCACCGTTATAGCGACAGTCCTGAAGGCAAT